TCTGAAGTCCCCCATTGCATTCCCCAGATCAAATTAAAAGAGAGATAAAACCTGCATGAAAAGCCTGAGATGGTTCTAGGAAAAGAATGCTAAATATGTAAATCCCTGGCATTTGTGACCACAAAAAGAAAAGGCAGGAAGCACAGTAACATATCATTGGCTGTGAGGAATGGGTTTTGAGTACAGATACAGAGGATACTTGGAAATAAGCACTACTGATGAATTAGATATGCAGATTGAATATTTACATGAAAATCTTTTTGGGGGGAGAAGATTAAAAATGACCCAAATTGACTCAAGGACTAGCTTTTAAAAAATCCAATTTAGGGGGCTGGTGTTGTGGTGTAGCAGGTAAAGCTCCCGCCTGCGACACCTGCATGGCATAAAGGCATCATTTGGAGTCACGGCTCTCTCCTTCCTATCCAGCTCCATGCTGATGTGCTTGGGAAAACGGCTGAAGATGACCCAAGTCATTGGGCCCCTGTTACTCATGAGTGAGACCCAGAAGAAGCTCCTGGCTCCTGGCTTCGGCCTTGCCCAGCTCCTGCTGGTGTGGCCATTTGGGGAGTGACCCAGCAGGTGGAAGACCTCTCTATCTCCGTCTCTCTTTCTCTCTGTGTAACTCTGAATTTCAAATAAATAAATAAATAATCTTTTTGTTAAAAAAATCCAATTTAGGTGGAAAAACCAAAGAGGAATTTAAAATGTTCTCCACAGCTAATCCTTGTAAAGCTAGATCCAGACTAAGTCCATCAATATTTTCAAAACAGAGATGGTTTCTTTCCTGTTTCATCTATTGCAGAACATGGGAAATGATGGAAACCTTCGATCCTAGCCCTCATGGCAAGTCCAGATAAGATTAGCAGTGTGACAGAGAGGAGTCCCTATTTAGGATTAGGTGGCCTGTTTTCCAAGCACATATGTTCCACTTGTAAAGTGATACACTTGGACGACCCAGCTCGGATCCCTAGCCCTTTGCTTTACAGCTGCATCTGTCAATCAGCTGCTTAATGAGCCTTGCTGTCAGCTCCGCCCTTCACTTTCCCAGCCTTTCTCCACCTTGACTATCGGGTTAGCTCCTGCAGCTAACTCCAGCCCACAGTCTACAGATTCTACAGTTCTACAGTTCTACAGATCACAGCTTTGGTCCCCTTCCCCTCACCCTCTCAATCCAAGGCTGACTCACTCTTTGTAACTTTCACGGATTGTGGACCAAGAGGAGGCCAAGATGACCCCTGAACACAAACGCTGCTCCCTCACTCTCCAAGCTGCCCACCCTGCACTTTTTTTTTTTTTACAGGCAAAGTGGACAGTGAGAGAGAGAGACAGAGAGAAAGGTCTTCCTTTTGCCGTTGGTTCACCCTCCAATGGCCACCGTGGCCGGCGCACTGCGCTGATCCAAAGGCAGGAGCCAGGTGCTTCTCCTGGTCTCCCATGGGGTGCAGGGCCCAACCACTTGGGCCATCCTCCACTGCATTCCCGCGCTATAGCAGAGAGCTGGCCTGGAAGAGGGGCAACCAGGACAGAATCCGGCGCCCCGACCGGGACTAGAACCCGGTGTGCCGGCGCCGCTAGGTGGAGGATTAGCCTATTGAACCGCAGCGCCGGCCTCCACCCTGCACTCTTTACCTCATCCCCTGAACAGCTCTATTTCCATATCAAGGATTCTGTTTCTGCCCATCTGTCCAGCAGTAGCCCAGAGTATCCTCATTTGGTGACTATCAACACCTGCAAGGTTGCAGGCAGCAGTCACAGGGGATTTGAGAATCCTTTTATAAACCAAATCTTGTCTGTAAATTGAAGGTCTCATATGCATATGTGCTGCTATCTTTCAAAATGAACTGTCAGTCTGGGTTCAGTCAAGAGGTAGAAACCACATGTTGTCAAACAGGAGAAATTTAATATAAAGAATCATCGGCCTGCGCCGCGGCTCACTTGGCTAATCCTCTTTTCGCCTGCGGCGCCGGCACCCGGGTTCTAGTTCTGGTTGGGGCGCCCGATTCTGCCCCTGTTGCTCCTCTTCCAGTCCAGCTCTCTGCTGTGGTCTGGGAAGGCAGTGGAGGATGGCCCAGGTCCTTGGGCCCTGCACCTGCATGGGAGACCAGGAGGAAGCACCTGGCTCTTGGCTTTGGATCAGCGCAGCGTGCTGGCCATAGCGGCCATTTGGGGGGTGAACCAGCAGAAGGAAAACCTTTCTCTCTGTCTCTCTTTCTCTCATTGTCTAACTCTGCTTGTTAAAAAAAAGAATCACCAAACAGTGATAGGAGGATAACGATAAAAATGCGAAGAGAATTTTTAAGGGTATGCCGAGATGAAAGGAGAGTTCCCAGAGAAGAACAACTCAGAAGGAGGGCTTCCTCCCCATGGCTGGGATTCAGGACGTGCTGGAGAAGGTGTGCGTATGGTCCACTAGATGTCACAGAAGGTTGTTCTTTGCAGAAGTAGAACTTGTTCAAGTTGAGAACAAGAGAACTGAAGTTGGTGAGCAGGTGCATAGAGAAAGTTAGGCCACCGCTGGGGATGGGAGGCCTGGAGCACAGGGACAGTACCCGCATTGCAGGGCTATAAGATGGTGGTCACAAGTGCAGGGTTGTGCTGCACAGTCACCAAGGGACCATGGATTGGGTATATGGCAGGAGCAGGGCCATTGGATGACCTTGTACACAGTACTGTGGACCAACTGTGCGGCAGGAGCAAGCAAAAGGAAAATAGAGCCCAGAAGATTCAGAGGAGAAGCGCCCTTATTCCTGTAATGTCCTTCTAACTTCTAACAAAGTTTACTGTCATGCTTTTCATAGAGGTAAAACATTTATAGGGTCCAGAATGCTTGTAGAACAGCTACTGAAGGAATTAGAAACAGATTGGCAATAAATTGAAAACTGGGTTAGTACTGTTGGAATTAGAGAAATATAAACTTACTCCAAAGCTCTACTGGTTTCTAGTTTATTTGTCTCTTCAAATATTTCTTGATTAATATATTTTTATTATATTTCCAAATCAACAGAGAGGAGATGACAATCAGCATGAGAGGAGTCTACAAGACATTTTGTTGTTCAACGTGGGTTCTTCTTCTTGGCAAAGTGGGAATTTGCTGCTCCAGAGAGCTTCCCGTCAGAAGCCCCAGGTCATGCTTGCCTGTTGGCCTTGAATAAATTGCCTTCCCCTATCCAGCTGCTGAATGTCTATAACTCTTTTTTCCCCATTCACTTGAGTTTGAGACCTTTGCAAAAATGATGATGGTCACTCTCAACCCCCTCGTGCATCACTTCTTGACCTTTGACCCTCAGGGTGCAATCCACGTTTGCACACTACCTGTCCACTGGTCCAGAAAGCAGCCTGGATTTTTGTTGGTTCAGTTTAGCTTCCTAAATGAGTCAAAGGCCAGCCACCTCTGCACTGCACATTCATAAAGCATGTGTGGCATAAATCATCCTCATTGCTTTTGCTAATAATAACAGAACTTTTAGATAAGGTTTTCTTTGCATTCCAGTAGCTCTCATTCGCACATGAGTGTTTCTAAAAATAAGTGGTTTCTATTTTTATAACCCAGATCAATGGTATCTAAGTAACTTAACAATTCTGTGGCATCTGCATGATGTGGAAGATTCTGTCATTAGATTCTACTCACTTTAAAAATCCACGTGTAAACTCTGCGTCCGGTTCCAAAGGCTGTAGCACTTGGTCTGGAGGCAAAAACCATGTCCCATTGCCTCTGAGACCTGAATGACATTTGTCCAGGAAGCAGATGAGAGTTGGGAGCAAGTGAAGGGTGGGGGGCGGGGGGGATAAAGAGCAAAATTTAGTTTCATTTAAAATGAAACAACTAGGTCAGCTGACAGGATGCTAAATGAGCCAGCTCACTTTGCAGGTTAAAATTTCAACTTAAACTCAACTTTTCGGCAGAAGGCAACTCTGGGATACAAATTGTGAAACCTGCAATGATGATGTGATACTTTAATTTGGTTAGCATGCAAGACAATATAAGTCAGTACAACTTTTGGCTGACACAAATAAGGAGTTAGACCCCAGTGCACAGATGCTTTCCCATGAGCCACTTGTTTTTGGTTTTAATAAGGCTTCATCTCTTCAAGCCAATTACCGGTAAATTCTTCTACTAGTTTAATGCTAGAAAGCAAATGGGAAGCTTGAGGTTTTTCCCCCACGCGATGGCCGTTTCTAATATCAGGATTGCTGTAGCCATGGGGGATGGGAGTGTGGAGGTGAGAGAGACATCAAAACGTGTAGGGAGGGGATGAAACCCAGGGAGCCCCGCACATAGGGAACATTTGTATAGGCTGATGAGGTATGCAGCTAAGCAACCAATACTGCCCATGTAGTAACTGGAGTACAGAAGTCCTCAGAAAGGATGCATTCAAGAGCCTCTTACAGATCCCAGAGGGACCCCACAGGTCACAGAGGGACTTGCCAGAAAAGCCCATCACTGGCTATTTGCAGAGCTGTCTGGTGCCAGTGCCAAGAAGCTGTGTCTCCTACACATTTCACCAGACTCCACTGAGTCTTAGAGGTGACAGGGCCCTCCTAGTTTTAATAGTTTCTGGTTTTATAGGACATAGAAGTTCTAGGTCCCAGGGGATTATTTCTCCTTTGGGATCTTGATGTGAATGTGCTTTTCTCTGACCACAACCTCCTTACAGATCGTCGCTCCCATTCCCCCCAGTCCACTCAGCTTGTTTGCTCACCCACTGTGGCACAGCACGGTTTCGTGATGTTGCACAAATGACTTCACCACTCTGTGACTCCATTTCCACTATGAAATAGAGCAAGTAGTAGTACCTGCCTCTTAGGGTTCTTATAAAGGACACAAGACTCAAGGACTAGAAAGTATTTAGAATATACATGCATGTGAACTGTAGCTCTTTTTAGAGACATCCAAATGAGAAGGATTTTTTGTAGTAGTATTCTGACAAATTCACACCAGCTGAGCCTGATCTCACATCAGCTGGTAGAGAGCCACTTCCAGGTCCTGAAGTGACTGACATTCTAAGGGGCGTCACAGCAAGCCTCCAAAGCCGATATGGAAGTGGTAGGGAGGGATCAAGGAAGAGGGAAGACTGAAGGGGATGGCAGTCTCTAGAGGGCTAGGGAGGTGTGAGGGTGGGTGCATTCGAGAGAGGGGAAGGCCCATGGGAAGAACCTGTAGCATCTGTCAGTTGAGAGAGAGACAGGGATGGGGAAGGGGGAGGGGACGCTTTGCAGGCATCCAGGCCTGGTATTAGGACCACAACTCAGGGGCTCTGTTTCTTCATGCTGAACTCTCCAAATCCTGCCCTCAAGCCTCCAGCTTCTGAGATCTCATCTGAGTGAAAGGTCTGTATCTCCAGTCATTCCACAAGGCATCTTTACATCGGATATTTAGCAACCCACTCTTAGAGCTGCCTCTCTCCAAAAGTCTTATCTATGTCATTGGTAATACCCTTCTTGTAATCATCCAAGGTTGAAATCTTTATCGATTTGCAACTCTTTGCTCCTAAAATTCAAGCTCGGCATGTATTAGCTAAGTGATCTTGAGCAGGCCTTGGACTTCTGATTTTTGTCTCCTTACCTACAAGTTGTAGTTAGTTTACCTGCCTCATAAAGGCTGTTGACAAGAATAATTGTATTACTACTGTAATAGTAGTAATATTGTGTTAGAATGGCACTAGTATTACTAAGTGTACCATGTTGGTAGTGATATATTAATGGAGTAATAATAAAGCTAACATTTACTGAGCTCTTAGCATTTTCTCATTTAATCCTTTTGACAACTCTATGAAGTAGGCCGTATTTTTATCTTTGAGTCACAAAACAATGAGGCTTCAGAGGCTCATCCATCCATTCCACAAGTGTTGTCCATGTGCCTAGTCTGTACCAGAGGGCTTTTCTAGAAGCTTGGGATTCACCAGTACCTGGTCCTCCACCTTGTAGGACTTGCCTCCTAGTATAGAAAATCAACCCAACAAAGAAAACCACCACAGACTAAGAGGAGTTCTGGGCAGTAAACAAGAGCAACTTGGCAGGGAGGTCATGGGTGGGGAGAAGGGTAACCTGGGAAGTCATCTCATGCAGGGCAGCCTTTAGGCTGGGAAGGGCTGGGTAGGAAGGCCTCCAAACAGGAAGGAGCTGACATGCTCAAGAAAGGTGAAGATAGGCAGGGGCTGGAACAGAGTGGGAGATGGGAGATTTGGGAGAGTCCCTGAACACAGAGACCCTCAGTCGCCATGACAAGGCCTTGGCAGTTTATTGTCATTCAATGGAAAGGTTAAATAGAGAAAGCTAAGTCTGGGGCTGGCATTGTTGTGCAGTGGGTTAAACCATGTCTTGCAACACCAGCATCCCATATAGGAGTGCTGTATCAAGTTCCAGCTGCTCTGCTTCCTGCTAATGTGCCTGGGAAGGCAGAGGAAGATGGCTGGAGGGCTTGGGCCCCTGCCCCCTATGTGAGAGACCTGGATGGAGTTCCTGGCTCCTGGCTTCTGCTTGACTGAGTCCTGGTTGTAGCAGCCATTTAGGGAGTGAACCAGAAGACAGATTTCTCTCTGTCTCTGTTGCTCTGCCTTTAAATAAATAAATCTTTAGTAAAGCAAACTGAGCGGTGAAATGACTCATCCAAGTTAAAAATTTTGAATGTGTTTTGGCTTCAGTATGGTGAAAGACTGAAAGTGTGAGACAGAAAGAGAGGAGGCGAGATGGGCAGTGACCACAGAGGTCAAGGCAGGAGATGTTGGGGCTTGGGCTACAGGAGCCAGGGCCAATGGATGTGGGTGACTAGAGGAGGGCCTACCTTGCTGGAGGTGAAAAGATGGGACTGACTGCCTCTATGTGGTCTTTAGAATGGACACCAACTTGGCTCACTTGCAATGGAGATTAATAAGCAGTCAGCATTCAACCCACATAAGTTTCCCTGGGGGGTCAATCTTAGGTAAGGCGGGAAGAGGTTCTGCTGACTGGCTCTTCATTGGAAGCGAAACATTAGGTTTTGTTGGGTTGGGGAGGTAAGGCCATGCCCTCTAGATCTCTGGCTCCTCCCCCTCAGCACACAGCACCTGGTTTGCACCTATTATGGTGTTCCGTGCTGGTGTAGTTGCTTCTTTTGAGCATGATACTCTGAAAATGGTGGTGTTGCTTGCTACCAGCACCCCCAGAGGGTCATATATGGTGGTACTGAGCTACTCTGGGCATATGCCTGGGTTGGAAAAGTTCCTACTTAGGCAGTAGGGGGTCTTTCACCATTAGAGTCTGGATGCTGCTTGTTCCTGGTTGGTTTGGCACTGGGTGGTGTGACCTGTGGTCAGAGATGGATGTGTTCAGGTCGGGAGTTCTGTTTCCATCTTGTGTCTTCATCAGTGGCCTGTAGGAGAAACAATACACAAAGGAGAGAAACCATCTCAAGTCTGAGCCCTGTGAAATTCTACCGTTAGTAGACAAGCAGAGATGAATCCAGAGATGCGAGAAGAGAAATTTGTCCCAGGTCACCCAGTAAATAAAGAGCTGGGCTGTGATTGGCCATGCTGCACTTGTGAGGAATCTTCCAGGCCTGCCACTGCAGCCCGAGTTACTGCAACCATCTCTTCTACCTCCAATTCCTCCGTTTGACATTCAAGGCCTCCTTTAATTGGTTCTTCCTTATTTCTGGCACCACCCATGTTCATAAATACTCTACAGCTTAGGAAGTTCTAGATACTGGTAGGGAACTACTGTATGTAATAGTAACCACCACAATAACAACATTCATTCATTCACCGAATATTGAGTGCTTGCTGAGTGTCAGTCCCCTGAGGAAAATGCAGAGGACAAAGTAGAAGGCCCTGCTCCTGTGGCACTGACACTGGGGAAGTGGACTTGTCCAGCCCAGTTTTCTCATAGGATATCCCACGGATCACATTCATTTCCACCTCTACAAACATTTATTCTGCTTTCCTCACTACTCTCCCCTCCACTCCATTTACTCAAATCCTTCCTTCCCAGAGAAGTTGGCTTGTCTAAACATAGCACCTGCTGGGGCCAGTGCTGTGGCAAAGCAGGTTAACGCCCTGGCCTGAAGCGCCAGCAGCCCATATGGGTGCTAGTTCGTATCCTGGCTGCTCCACTTCCGATCCAGCTCTCTGCTATGGCCTGGGAAAGCAGTAGAAGATGGCTCAAGTGCTTGGGCCCCTGCATCCACGTGGGAGACCCGGAGGACGCTTCTGGCTGCTGGCTTTGGATTGGCACAGCTCTGGCCATTGCGGCCAGTTGGGGAGTAAACCATCAGATGGAAGACCTCTCTCCCTGTCTCTCTCTCTCTGCCTCTCCTCTCTCTGTGTAACTCTGACTTTCGAATAAATAAATAAATCTTTAAAAAACACATAGCACCTGCTGTGTTCCCACTTGTGAGTATCACTTTCTCACATCTACTCACTGCCACAAAGATCCTAGAGTGTTCCAGAGACATCAACAGAGACCATTGCAGAGATAACCAGATCCCCATATGCAAACCCATGAGAGAGTCAAACCTGGAGAAATAGATGCCCACAAGAAGAAGAGAGAACATGGGCTTTGGTGAGTAAAACAAAAGGGTACATTTGGCTACAAAGGGAGAGTGGGAGGGGATGAATGCTGTAGAGAAGATGAATGGGGCTGGGGAGATGGTGGAGAGGGGAAATGAATTAGTAGCAAAAAAAAAAAAAAATAGGATACTCAGGTAGAATGCTCCACCCAGAGGGTTAAGGAGAGAACTTGGAGTGCTATTTGGAGCACCCGTGTCTTGTTACCTATTGCCAAGAGCAGAAGACAGTAACAGCTACATTTGGAGCTTTTCCTGGGAGCCGAGGCTCAGAGGCAGGCTCTGACAAGGAAGGTCAGCTCTTTGTCTTCAGCAAGCACAAGCTATATTAGGGAAATTTCTCTGGGTGTTAACCTATTTAACACTAAAGCCTTCTCAACCACGTAGATTAGTCTAATGCACTCTGACGAGGTTACGTAGATAATGCTCTCATATGCTTACCTACAGTTAACAGCTAACTCCATTAGCACAACTGACTTGGTTGAATAGTGAATTACTGTTTAGTATGCACAGAGGATCACCTCTAGCCCAGAACGGTGGGACACTGCTGAGTTTCCTTATATTCCAGCAGATGGAGCCATAGTCTGGAAGGGCTCAAGACACCTCTGGGACTGATGCCCACCCCTCAAAGAAAAAAAAAAATCAATAACAAGAAGAGGGTGGGGAGAAAGAAGGAAAATTAATTTAAAAAGTTAAAAAATATGTTAAAAATTATATCACTTTCTTTTTTTTTTAATAGAACCAGTCTTTGGTTGTACCGTACCTGTGCCAGTGTTTGGCCCATAGGCTGTATCTGATAACTAGTGAATGCATACATGAGATATAATCTGATGACCAGGCTGTGGCTTGACTTTAGTGTGTGATTCTCTCTTCCTCATTCTCTCCCATCCCTTTGATTATTTACATATTCATAACCTTTGAACACCTACCTCTCATTAAAATGTCACGGAAACATTCAGTGACACTTGAATGCAGGGTCACACTGATGTCAAAGGGAAGTGTTGGGAGCAACATGTGATAAAAATAGCCCTGTAGAGGTTCCCACTGTCTTCCAAGCTCTAACACTGCACTCAGGCGCTATTTTGTGAAGTGTGTCCCCAGGCACTGCGTCAATATCATCTGGGTTGTTTGTCAGAAGTTCCAGTTCCCAGGCCATTCCCAAGTGGATCTGAGTCAGTGCTTCTGGGCTGCGACACTCCAAGTGATTCTCCTGGAAGAAGAAACAAATCAAAACAAAACAAACTGGAACAAGCTGGAAAACCTTGGCTTGTTAGTGGCATGCAAGCTGACAACCCCTTACCCTCAATCCTGAAATCCAGAGGATTGAAATCTTTAATAATTGAAAGTTTTTCATTACTCATTTTGGAGGCCAGCTCTGACCCATGAAATGGTGTGAAGCTACAAGTGATCTGATTCATTGCCTTTAATACGAACCTTTATTTCCTGTGCTGTAGAAATATTAATCTGTTTGATTAGAACTCCTGACCCTACTGGGGGTGTTACGGATGGGTGTGTGGTACCCACAATGAATTGTCTTTCTGAAACCCAACAGAATTTTGACTTAGAAACACACATAGTCTCAGGAGTTTTTGATCAGGGGCACCTATATTGTGTTCTCTTGTCTCATCTGTCCACGGCATTTGAAGCCATTACATTTGGCTCTGATGATTACAAAGGTAGATAAGAGCATATGGGGTTGGGACCAAGAGACCTCATCTTTCTGGGCTTCAGCTGTCTTCCCTGAACTTGAGGGGACATGCATAAAATTTGGATTTTTATGCCTTCTTACTCTCTTAAGAAACGTTCAAGCATTATTGCCCCAAAGATTAGATTGTGCTGTCTTATTATTCTTCTTTTAAAAGTTTATGAAACAGAAAATCTTTCTGTGCCTTTAGGCATTAGACAGAGTCAATGCAGATCTTTCAGTGGTGTGACAGGACATTTGCCTAGATGTTTCTCTTATTTGGATAATTTATTGTACTCAGCAAAAACTACCATGAGTAGAGCCAGCGCCACAGCTCACTTGGCTAATCTTCCACCTGTGGCACCGGCACCCGGGTTCTAGTCCCGGTCGGGGCGGCGGATTCTGTCCTGGTTGCTCCACTTCCAGTCCAGCTCTCTGCTGTGGCCAAGGAAGGCAGTGGAGGATGGCCCAAGTGCTTGGGCCCTGCACCCCATGGGAGACCAGGAGGAAGCACCTGACTCCTGCCTTCGGATCGGCACAGCACTCCAGCCGTTGCGGCCATTGGAGGGTGAACCAACAGCAAAGGAAGACCTTTCTCTCTGTCTCTTTCTCTCACTGTCTAGCTCTGCCTGTCAAAAAAAAAAAAAAAAAAAAAAAAACACCAACTACCATGAAATTAATAGAATACAGACTTAATCATGAACTGCACAGAGTGCTATGGAACATTGTGGAAGGAAATATTACTTAGGTTGATGAGAGGACAAATGAGATACAGGGTATGGGAGTTGAAACAGCCACTACTACCAGTAGCTCTTGCAGCTTAAGAGTCCAAAGGTCAGCAAGTTGCCTTTTAGCAGAATCCTGACCCCAAGCCCAGGGGGCTGGAGTGTCTCTCTACATCCTATAGCCCTGCTTTGAAGATTTTTTTAATTTTCAAAAATTTTCATAGAACAAAATAATGAGCTCTCAGTTTGCTATATGGGAAGCAATGGGTTGAATTATGCCCCCTCCTCCAATATGTACCTTGAAGTCCTCACCTCATTACCTTAGAGTGAGGTCTTTAAGACAATCCTCTTCTGTATGACTGGTTTCCTTCTAAGAAAGGGAAATTTGGAGGCAGACACCTTTAGGGGAGATCACCATGTCAACATGAAGGGTTCATCTTTGGGCCAGGGGAGACAACTGGAACAGATCCTTCCCTCTGTAGGAACCAACCCTGCCTCTGACAATATCTAGATATTGGACTTCTCACATGCAGAACTAGGAGACACTGAATTTCATCGTTTTAGCTACCCAGCTGGTGGACTTTGTTACAGCAACGCGAGCAAAGCCATACATGGTGTCTAGTCCAATGGGTGAATGAAACATGTACAATATCTGATGTGTGCATCTGGATACTCCTTTCACTACTGGATTCATTTGTGCCCTATTCCGTGTTTGCCATTTGTCTCATTCTTCTGTCTAGTTAAAAACAATTATGGTACTAGATGCATCTTCATAAGCTCTTTCAAATTTTTTTGAGTTTAGAAATGATATAAATTAGTAAGTATTTTTTCCTTTGAGTACATTTAGCTCAAACATGGTTACACATGAAATGATTAAATAGTCAACTATTCACCTAAAATTATAGGGCAAAATCCAATTCTGTACCATTGGGTGGAGTGGATTATGAAGGGTGTTAAGTTTAGTTTCATGGCAAATGATTTCTCCATTGTGGGGCTGAATTCTTCAGGTAGTGTGCGTTTTTTTTTTTTTTTAATTTGAGAGAGAGAGACAAAGTCAGACAGAGCTCATCTATGCTGATTCACTCCCCAAATGCCCACATCAGGCTGGGTCAGGGCCAGGCTGAAGCTGGGAGCAGATAACTCAATCTAGGTCTCCCACATGGGTGATAGGGACGCCTCTACTTGAGCCATCATCAGCTGCTGCCTCCCAGGGCACACATTAGCAAGAAGCTGGACTCAGGAGTGGAGCTGGTACTCAAACCTGGGCCCTCCCATGTGGGATGCAGACATCCACCTGGTAGCTTATGTTCTTGGTGAAATGCCTACCATGAGTATGCCATTTTAAAGTGGAGCTTGTGCCACTAAGAAGTCAGAACTGTCTTCAACTCCTCATGACACAGAGCTGAGAAAAAGAAAATCATCTTGAGTAAAAGGCTATGGCAGGAAGTTTATGAAGTGTGCAAAGAAGTCAAGTTCTAAGAAGTACTGTTTATTGTGCATCTGCTATGTGCAGGCACTCTGCTGGATATCTGATACACTACAAACCTCTTAATCCTTTTAATAACCTTGCAAAGATGTGTCCCTAATCTCCCAATTCAAACCCAAAAATACATAGCTCAGAGGAGTAAACCAACTTGTCTAAGAGCAATTAGTAGAAAGGTGAACTGAGATTTGAAATACATAAACCTGCTTTTAACTTCTACAATATTTACATTCCTCCAACTTCCCTCCTTTAAAGCTCACATGTTTTTGTGTTTTAAATACAAATCAGGCTCCACATCTATAGAAGTGTAGTTAATGAAGAGTCTTATTTTAAGTTTGAACACTTTTAAGTTTTTGGCCCAGAGACAAAAATCTCTGCATTTAGTAGAAAGTATATAAATAATATATGAAAAAATGACCCTATCTTTATAGCCCAATGAGACATGTTAACACCAATTCCTTTATGAGAATAGTGTGGAAGTTCATTTCCAAACTACTCTCTACATTAGTTATGGATATTTTGTTCTAATCCCTAGAAAGTAGGCTATGGAAGAACTAATAATTGCATTCCAAGATTCATGCTCTCTTTCCTACAAGAGCACTTTGCTAAAATTTTAATTTTTAAGCCTTCCTTCCAGATATTTGGAGCTCCATGCTTGGTTCTGGTCCCTGTACTGTGAGTGGAGGTGCTGATCAAGCTTCTTTGACTGGAACGCTGGTGGTGGTTGGAGCTGATCAAGCCATTGTATACTTTCAGCTGGAAGCCAGTTATTTAGGAAAGAAGAGTTCAAAAAGAAGAGCTGCAAGACTGTGAAGTTATTTCATCAGCTGGAATCACCAGTCTAGATTAGCCTGGTTCACAATACACCTTTGTATTGCAGGGTAATAAAATGTATGTTTTGAAAGCCACTGTTATTATGAGATCATTGGTACTGCAGCCAAACCAGAATTTTGACTAGTAAACCATTTCGAATAATTAAGCAGAACACTCCAAATCTTCTGAATCTGAATATGTGCAAAAAAGTTCCTGCATAGAATTGTGTACCTTATTTTAGTATTCATTCAATAACTCAAAATATTTAATTACTGGGGACACTTCATTTCCTCTATCTCTGTATTCTCTTTATTGAATGTCTACCAGAGGATTCTGGCTTCTCAAGTTGCCTTAGGAGCATCTGAACTGGGTCTGAAAACCCAGGCCCCCATTTTTTAATTTTTAAGTTCAGGGTAGGAGCAATTTGGAAAGTGAAGGCACCACGAGGCTGATCTGTTACTCATTAGTGATTTTGTTTAAGCCCAAACAGCCCAGAAAGTGACTGGAAATTTTTGCCATAACCTCACCTAAGAGCACACTTTGAAACCTGAGCAGGGTGTTGGGATAGGGGTTTCTCAGACTTGTCTGAGGTTTCTAGAGATAACACATTGGCAACTTCCAGAAGAGGGGTGTGTGTGTGGGAGGTATTATAACCAGAATTCCCCCATAGTCCCCTTCTCTAAAATAGGATATAGAGAAGATGTGGGAGGAGTGCCCCCAAACCACTTAGAAGTCTCAGTTGTAAAACCAGTGACTTATTGGCAAGCACATGGGGTCACCACCTTCAAGTTCTAGAATTCATTTCAACGAAGAGAAGAAAAGTGAAAGGTATTTATGTCATCACTATGAATGCTTTAACAAGCCATTGCACTCAGGAAATTTATCACAGAGTTTAAAAAGTTTCATGTAGGATCAGGGCTGATAAAAGCCCTCTGGATTCTTTACCTTCACTTCACATATGCCATCAAAGATGATGATACAGCCTGATACAGATACTGGAGTTAATGTTATAGGGGAGGAAGAAAGACACTTGGTGGCATTTTAGCTAATACCAGAAAGACGGGTGTTATTATTGATAAAATTCTTCCTGGAAATAGAAATACTAGAGTCTTAGGGAAGAAAGGAGTGAGCAAAAGAGGAAAATCTTGGTGCTCATTGAATTTAAAAAAAGCAAGGTTAATAAAGAATATTAGGGGAAATCTGACAACATCCCCAAAACAAAAATAAAGCATTACTAGCTGACCCCAAAGAAATGGAGATCTATGAACTAGCTGACAGAGAATTCAAAATGCTTATCTTAAAGAAGCCTTGTGATCAACAAAAGAATAGACAATTAAATAAAATATTAGGAAAACAATATATGAACAAAATGACAAGTTCCACAGAGAGATATAAACCACCAAGAAGAATCAAATGCACATTTTTGGAGCTAAAGAATGCAATGTCTGAACTGAGAAATTTAATTCAAATTTTCAAAAGAAGACTTAATCAAGTGTTAGAAAGAGTTAGTGAATTTGAAGACAGGTCATCCAAAATTACCCACTGAGAAGGGAAATAAAAAAGACAAAAGGGTGAAGAAAGCCTTTGGGACATGATCAAGTGAACTGATACGTGCATAATGGGAGACTCAAAAGGAGCAGAGGAAGAAAGGACTGCAAATACATTTAAAGAAATAGTGAAAGATGAAAAATACTAAAAATAGATTAAATATGAAGATATTCACTTAAATACATTGTGATAAAAATCTCAAAAGTTAAAGACAGAATCTTGAAAGTAGCAAGAGAAAAGCAATTCATTTTATATATAACAGAACTTCCATTAGACTTTCAATAGATTTATGAACAGAGACCGTATAGTCCAGGAAAGGATGGGATAACATATGAGTATTCAAAGTACTGAAAAGCAAAAATAGTCAATCAATAATAGTAAAACTCTATAAGGGTGTTCTTCAGAAATGAAAGAGTGATAAAGACTCTCCCAGATAAATAAAAGCCCTGGGCATTAATTACCACCAGACCTGCCTTACAAGAAATGCTAAAGAGAGTTCTTTAAATTGAAATCAAGGGACCCTAACTAACAACATAAAAATGTATGGAAGTATTAAACTCACTGTAAAGATGAGTATATTGTCAAATAAAAATTCAGACTTCTAAACATTGTAATGGTGACATATAAATAACATTTTACTCTAGTACAAATGTTAAAGGATAAAAGTATTAATATAGCTACTTCTATAATTTGTTAATTTATGCATAATACACAAAAGAGGAAAATTGTGACATAAAATGTATGGGGAAGAGAAGTTAAAGTATACAATTTTTATATGCAGTAGGTTAAGTTGTTGTTAGCTCAAAATTTATAATAGATTTTTATGTAAGTTTCATTGTAACCATAACAAACAGAAACCTATAATAGATACATAAAAGAAAGGGAGAAGAAAAGCTATAACTACCACTACTAGAAAAAAATTAAATACAGAAGAAGAAGATAAAGAGAAGAATAATAGAACAACAGAACTTAAAAAAAACTTCAGAAAACAACGAACAAAATGGCAGTAGTAAGTCATTGCCTATCAAAAGTTGGTTTAAATCTAAGTGGATTAAGTTCTCCAATCTAAAGACATAAAGTGGCTGAATGGATTTCTTAAAAAAAAAAAAAAAAGACCAAACTATATGCTGCTTCAAAAAGACTCACTCTAGTATTAAGGGCACACACAAACTTAAAGTGAGGGGCTAGAATGATATATTGTGTGCAAATGTAACCAAAGCAGAGCAAGAGTGGCTACACTGACATGAGATAAAGCAGACTTTTAGTAAGTAACAAGACAAGAGCAAGGGAGACAAAGGAGGTTACTCTATAATGATGAAGGGATATTCATCAGGAGGATATAATAACTAAATATAAAGACACCAACATTGGAACATGTAAATATATCAAGCAAACATGAACAGAGCTCAAGGGAGAAATAGATAACATTAGAATAGTAGGGGACTTCAATACTCCACTTTCAACAATGTATAGATTGTCCAGACAGAAAATTAGAAAGGACACAGTAGATGTGATAAACACAACAGACCAAATGAATCTAATAACATTCATTTCACCTGACAGCAGCAGAGCTCCCATTCCCTTCAAGTGCACATGGAACATTCTCCAGGAAAATCGTATGTTATGCCAGAAAAAAATGCTAAAAATGTTTAAGATTGAAATCATATCAGGTATTTCTCTTTTTTCTTAAGATTTATCCATTTATTTGAAAGGCAGAGTTACACAGAGAGAGAAGCAGAGGCAGAGAGAGAGAGAGGCAGAAGCATAGAGAGAGAAAAAGAGAGAGGTCACTCATCTGCTGGTTCACTTCCCAAATGGCTGCAATGGTTGGAGCTGAGCCAATCTGAAGCCAGGAGCCAGGAGCTTCTTCTGGGACTCCCATGCAGGTGCAGGGGCCCAAGGACTTGGGCCATCTTCTACTGTTTTCCCAGGCATAGCAGAGAACTGGATCAGAAGTGGAGCAGCTGGGTCTTGAACTGGTGCCCATATGGGAAGCCAGCACCGCAGACCAGAGCTTTAACATTCTGAGCCACAGTGCCGGCCCATTCAAGTATCTTTTTCAACCACAATGGTATGAAACTCGAAGTCAATAACAGGAAAATTTACAAATATGTAGACATTAAAGAATATAGTCCTGAAAAACAAACAAATCCAAGAAAAAAGGAATTGAGATAAATTAAAAGGAAAAAACAGCATATCAAAACATAGGATTCAACAAAATCTATTATAAGAGGTCAGTTTATAGCAACAAACAGCTACATAAAGAATGATTTTGTATAAACAGCCTAACTTGACACAGCTAGCAAAAGAAAAACATCTTAAGCCCAAAGTCAGCAGAAGGAAGGAAATACTAGAAAGAGCAGAGTAGGAACAACTGAAATAGAGGCTGTAAAACAAGGAAAAAATTCAGTGGAACTAAGAGTTTTTTTGTCAAGAGATAAAATTACAAGCCTTTCCCTAGACTAACTTAGAAAAAAGACTAAGACTCAACTAAATACAATTATGAATGAAAGAGGAGCTACCACAGAACTGATGCCTCAGAAATACAAAGGGTCATAAGAAACCATATAAACAGTCATAACCAACACCCTAGTAGAAATGGAGATTTCCTAGAAACACAGCCTACCAATACTGAATCATGAAGAAATAGAAAATACGAACTATCAATAATGAATGAAGTCATTGAATCAATTATCAAATCATGTCCAACAGAGAAAAACTTATGACCTGAGAACTTCACTGGTGAATTTTAACAAACATTTGAAGAAGAATTAATGCCAATACTTCTTAAACTCTTCCAAACACCATCCTTATAGCAAAACCAAAGACATTACAGGAAAGGAAAATTATAAGCCAATATCTCAAATAACCTAGATACAAAAATCTCCATACAAAACTGGCAAGCTGAGATCAGAGGAACATTGAAAAAAATCACACACAATGATCAGGTGTGATTTATCACTTGGATACAATGATGATCCATCATGTGCAAATCAATATATGTGATGTAGCATTTTAATAGAAAGAAGGTAAAAGATATAAGTGAAGCATTTGACCAAATTCAATATTGTTTCATGATAAAAATAGTTAGCTCTATAGAGAATATACCTCAACATAATAAAGACCATACATGACAAGTACAAAGCTAACATATTTCTTGATGAAAAGTTTAGTTTTTCCTCTAAAGGTCAGGAACAAGCTAAGGACACTCACTCTTACTGTTCTATTCAATGTAGTACTGAAAGTCCTAGTCAGGGCTATTAGGTACCAAAAAATAAATCACATACATCCAGATTGAAAAGTAAAGGTTTCTCTTTTTGCAGATGGCATAATCGTACATAGAGAAAACCTTAAAGACTCCACCAAAAAGCTGTTAAAATAAACAAATTTGATAAAGTTGTAGAATACAAAATTAACATATAGGGGATGGAATGGTGATGTAATAGGTTAAGCCTCTTCCTGTTATGCTGGCATCTCATCATGAGCACTGGTTTGAGTCCTGGCTGCTTCATTTCTGATCCAGTTCCCTGCTAATGACCTGGGAAAGCAGTGGAAGATGGCCCAAGTGCTTGGGGCCCCTGTACCCTTGTAGGAGACCTGGAAGAAGCTCTTGGCTCCTGGATTCAGATTGTCCTAGCTCTGGTCATTGCGACCATTTGGGGAGTGAACCAGTGGATGAAAGATCTCTCCCTCTCCCTCTGTGTGTGTGTGTGTGTGTGTGTGTGTGTCTATAACTTTGCCTCTCAAATAAATAAGTAAATCTTGAATAAAATCAACATACAAAATTCAGTTGTGTTTCTATACACTAGCAAGTAACTATCAAAAAAAAAAAAACACAAGAAAAAAATCCCCATTTACAATGCATTAAAAATTCTTAGGAATAAATTTAACAAAGGTGGTGAATGATCTCTACACTGAAAACTGAGAGAAACTGAAGAAGATTTAAACAAGTGAAAATATAACCCATGATAACCCATGTCCTATTGGTTGATAGATAATGTTTAAGTGTCCATACTACTCAAAGTGATTTACAGACTCATGAATACCTATCACATTTCTAGTAGCATTTTTAACAGAAATACAAAAAAACACTAAAATTCATATTAATCACAAAAGATCTGAAATAGTCAAAGCATCCTTGAACAAAAGAACAAAGAAAAAACAGGGGAAAAGCCTCTTGACATTGGTCTGGGCACTGATTTTTCAATATGATCCCCAAAATACAGATAACAAAAGCAAAAACAGACGAATCAGATTATAGCCAACTAAAAAGTTCCTGCACAGCAAAGAAAACCATTAAGAGAGAGAAGAGACAGCCTTCAGAATGGGAGAACATGTTTCCAAACCATGTATCTGATAGGAAGTTAATATCCAAAATATATAAGGGGCTCAACAATTCAATAGCAATAAAAAATTAAAAACACAGACAAAAGATCTCAGTAGAAATTTTTTTTAAAAAGCCATACAGATGGCAACCCTTATATTAAAAAAATGCCCAGCATCATTAATCACCTGGGGAATGCCCGAGAGAAGCCACCACAACCTCTCAGCTCTGTTTTGCTCCTAGTTCAAGGTAGAAGCACTTGATTGCTCTTGTGTGCCCTCCATCCATTGCTGTCTGCACCATGAGATGGAGCAACCAAGGAGTGGCAGTCATCACAGGGCCTGTGCTAAGCTACTGAGACTCTAACTGAGCTAAATAAGCCTCTTTTTCTTCTCAAGCAGCCTGTAACAGCTATTTCATTATGGTTATGAGAAGCTGACTAACACACTCACGTTGACATTTAATCCCCATTGTGAGCTACCAAGAGGGTGGGAACTTAATACACTGTGATGTTGAGAGGTGGGGCTTGGGAGAAATTACTAAGATTACCTAAGGTCACCAGGGAGGGGGTCCCCATGGTAGGATACTGGTAGCTTGATAGGAAGAGGGAGAGAGACCAGGATCAACACATGTATATACACACACACGTGAGTGTGTGCACACACACACGTGTACTCCCTGTCTCTGGTGCCCTGAGTTCCTTGGGACTCTGTCAGCAAGGAGACAATCACCAGATGAGCCCCTTGATTTTGACCAGAGCCTGTGCCATAATAAACCTCTTTTTTCTATAACTTACCCAATTTGTGATATTGTGTTACTAGCAACAGAAAACAGGAAGTGAAATCAGCATGTTGGAGAGAGATTTGCATTCCCACATTCAGAGCAGTAATATTCCTTATAGCTAAGACATGGAATCTATGTAAATGTCCACATAAAGAAAATGTTGTTGTGGGAAAACTGGTGAGATGAGGTCACGTTGGTGTCCTGGTGTCGATGACAATTTATGAGACCAAACACAATGGTGAGAAGAGAAGAAGCTAAGTTTTATTTGAGTAGGAGACAGAGAAGCCCCCAGCAAATGGAGGGACTGGTAGAGGGAGACCAAGTCACTGAAGTCTCACAGGCTACGGGTATTTGTATATCTTTAACACATCATCTCCAAAGAGCAAATGTACTGGTTCTATATTAGCTATTGTGAAGGCAGGGGCAGTCCTAATGGGACCTTTTCTAACTTGCTTTTGTCAAAACCTAAATCTCGCTGTTCATTGGCAAATAATTGTTGCCATGGGCTTCCATTCTGTTTTGTTTAGTGTGTACATGCTGGCAAGGAGCCATGGGATGGAGTTGGGCAGGTTAAGTAAGTTCCGGAGATCAGACATTCAGCCTTGTCTTGACTAATACTGTCATGTGTATTGGAAATTTGCTGGGAGAGTAGATCTCCTAGTTCTCACCACACACAGAAAAGGAAAAAATATGTGAGGTGATGAATATGTGAATTAGCTTGATTGTGGCAATCACTTCACAATGTATACATGTGTCAAAACATCCTGTCGCATATCACCAATATATCCCACATATACTTGTCAATTATATTTTAATAAAGCTGAATATTGAGAAGGAGCTAGATCGGAAGGAGAGATCAAAGAATGAATTTCATCATTTTTGGCCTAATACAGGACATCTCTTTCTTCAATTGTTAAAGCCCAATGGCTGAATATCCAAATGAAATGATCACATGAACGCTTTAAATCCTGGGCAGAATTAGGTGGAGAAACTTAAACAGATAGAGTCACTGCCTTTGACTATAAATTCTAAGCAGATGACGGTGACCTAATTTTTGGAAACATATAACAAATTTGGTGTGCAGACTAGACTATTTTATATATATATATATATATATATATTTGAAAGGCAGAGTTACAGAGAGAGAGGTCTTCCAACTGCTGTTTCACTCCCCAGATGGCAAGGGCCAGAGCTATGCTGGTCCAAAGCCAGGAGCCTAGAGCTTCTTCCAGGTCTCCCACATGGGTGCAGGGGCCCAAGGGCTTGGGCCATCTTCTACTGCTTTCCCAGGCCTTAGCAGAGAGCTGGATCAGAAGTGGAGCAGCTGGGACTTGAACTGATGCCCATATGGGATGCTGGCAGTGCAGGTGGTGGCTTTACCCAGTAAGTTATGGTGCCGGCCCCAGTATTAATTTTCAAAATTTTTGCCATGCTACCACTCCAGAGAAATTTTCTGCTGTCCTAGGATTGTACTGTGTTAAATTACAATTCATAAATACATCAGTTAACCAGTTTTTTTTTGAGAGTGAAGCAAGAAGCAGCATGTTTTAATAGACAGTGACTACAAGCACTCTAAGAAAACCTCTACATATTTATATTTAGTTGACAGGGTGTTACCAGTAGAAAAGTAGATATTCTGGAACAAATCTATGAGCAAGTCCCATATGTGGTTTCAACCCAAAAGTCCCATCGTCTTATATGGCACAGGAAAAACACCACAATTCTCCAGACCTTTCCCCCAGACTGCCTGAGGACCTTAGGTTACTGGCAGGAAGCAATGCTGATGATACAAGTGGGTCTCCAGGCTGAGGCTGATACACAACTTTGCTGGCCAACTCTTATTTGGCAGAACAAGGTCTTCTCATATCACAGGCTAAGGAAGTGGCCAAAGCCAGAATTATTTAAAATAAGGGGAAAGTTTGAGTTGCTGTCCAGTTTATGACTCAATGAAACCAAACTCTGAAATATACAAGTAAAAAAATGGGAAGTGAACTAGGGAGGGTAGAACGGAATGCTCACCTAGCTGGGCCTTGATAAAGAGTATTTGGAAACAGGTGGCCTAAAAGATTAAAAATACCAGGCACAAATGGGATTAGTTAAGAATGGCAGGGGCCAGCTGAGTCAGGAACACGGGGGTGGATATGGACTTAAGCTTGGTTTATAAAGCTAAAGAAGCCCAGTTGTTTGAAATTATATAAATGGGCCCTACCTTAGTAATATGTACTGTAGCCTACTTGTGGGTTGTAGTGGAGGTTGAAAGAATAGAGTACAACTTTCTAGAAGCCTTTTCTTTTGACACTGTAGGCTTGCATTCTTGAAAGTGTAGACACTGGTCTGGGACAAGAGTAGGCTGCGGGTAGATGTCTGTGTTTTGGTAAGATAGCAGATGGACAAGAACTTACAATTTTATTAGGACAAAAAGGAGAAGTCATCTTCAGGCCCAACCTGTTCAATTTGATAGGCTAATACCATGTTCTGACTTTAACACAGTAAACTATTGAAATCTGAAAGAATTTAAGAGCTGTGGGGGCGGGCTCTGTCACAGAAACTACAGGAGATCCTGGTTGCCATAGTTAGCGTCCATGAACTTCTGTTTTACTTTAACAAAAAAGTTACTTTTGTTTTTAAGGATCAAATCTGATGACATTGATAAAATAAGTTTGAACACTATAAATCGTTATACAAATGGAATACACTGTTTTATGAAATTGTCACTCTTTGCTCACAGAACCATGGCTTGGTTACCCTGGAGATTACTTGGGTTGTCTCTTTTACTAAAAACAAAGAAAAAGAAAAAGTTGTCATTTATCACTGACTTATGAAGAGTTCTGCTATAGGCCCAATTATGTAAACCTAGCCTAGCAATTATCTTTCCTTTCCCCAGTTCCCAAGAGACAAGACTGTGCATAAAGTCACATGTTGACAGTTTCCTGTCCTTGCTACTAAGTACAATAGCAATTTGATTAAAAGCCTTGACCGAAGATAATCCTTTACTGAAAAAAGGCCTCATAAAGTTTGTCTAGAAAACAAACATCTTTTTTCCATCTACTTAATAAAAAAGAACAATCACATTCTTACATTTCCTGAACAGAAATGTACTGAAATGCTTCAAGTTGAATGTTCTGAAGACAAAGTGGGAACTAGAATAAAGAATTCAGATTATATTTTGTAGAGAGGGGATTGAGTCACTTTGTGAAATTTAAAAAAAGACAACCCTCCCAAACAGGCAGTTCCTAGAAGTGAAAACACAATGATTAATAAACACAGGACATTAAAAACCAATGAAGTATATTTATACCTAGCAAATAACCCACAACTAAAAAGACTGAAAACATACAATGTTATGATAGGGGAAAATAAGTATGCTCTTACTAGTTGGGAATGCAAATTATTGCAATCTTCTTGGAAAGAATCTATGGGCCAGAGTGATTCTAAATACTAATGTTGAAAGAATGGTTGACTGCCACCTACATTCACTTACTCACGAAGCAAATAATTATTGTGTACCTACCTCATGCCAGAGATGGAGAAGTAAACAAGGCCAAAATGAATCTCTGCTCCCGTGGAGTTCAGTTTACTGGGGGAAGAGGCAGACAATAGGCACCATAGATAAGTGCATAGTGTAGAAGGAAGGGCCATGCACTGTAGAAAAAATGCATCAGCCTAAGGGAATCTATAATACTGAGATGAGAGTGTTTGTAGGTCTGCACTGAGACAGTGAGATTTGAGCAAAGACTTGAAGGAAATGAAGGAATGCTTACACGACGTGCAGGGGACTGAAGTTCCAGGCACAGGAAGCAGTCAGTGTAAATATAAACACAGTCCGTCCTCCTTATCCATGGATTCAACCAACTGCAGACTGGAAACATTAAAGCAGGGATGGCTGTCTGTACTGTGCGTATGCAGACTTTTTCTTATCATGATTCCCTGAATGTGATTGTGTGACATCCATGTACATAGCATTAGGGAAGTACGTTAGGTACATTGCATTAGGTATGGTCAGTTAGCTACGTACTAGTACAGCCTGTGAGCACGTGGAGGGCGTGCTTGGCTATGTGCCAATATGACACCATTTTGTACAAGGGACTTGAGCACCTGTGGATTCTGGTTTTCTTAGAGAGCTCTTGGACCCAAGGCCCTGCAAATATCAAGGGATGACTGTACATAGAAATGGCTAAAAAGAATGAAGCGTTTGAATATAAAGAAGTCATTGAGAGAATTGATCATAAAGCTTCTCCAGTATAAACTTTCTCTTACTGCATTTATATGGTTACATTAATTTTGCTAATAAAAATCTTATCACCTTATTCTGTCCAATTGGAGACTTCTATAGTAACATCACAGTAACCATCACATCTGAAAAAAAGTTAGGTAGATTTTTCCTGTAGTGTTTTTATCAGCTCTTTTTACTATTTTTTACTCTTTGCAAGTTTCCTTTCAATCTTTTTTTCAGGTTTAACATATTTTTAAGTGTGGTATTTAATGACTTTAAAAATACAGATGCACCGCACCGTTTGACTACTACTCAGATTAAGATATAAACATTACTGGCATCCTAGAAGACTCTTTTATCTCTTTTTGCAGTCAACAAACACCCCTGAGGTAGCTAACACTTACCATGGATTAAATTTGA